ATCCTATCATCATCATCATCATCATCAGCTCACTATACGTCCCCGTCTAGGGGCTCGGACCCTACCCTAAGTTAGGGGTGATTGATTATCCATTCTATATATATATATATATATATATATATGAGGTGATCATGCATCGTCTGGATCCCACAGAAGGAAAAATTGTATTATTATATTTTCTTTTTTTATTTCTTTGTCCAAATTTTTAATAAAGTTTTTGTACAATGACCTATGAACGATTCCGCCGCAGAGGGTTATATTGTTTTGTGAAAAGCAATAACACTTTCTATTTTTCATAAATATATTCATCATGTATCATTACAAGAGAAGACAATAATAACACTGTAGTAAGGTCATAAGTATATACGATATCGCAAACTATCATATAAACTTGCCTCTCGCCGCTTACAAACTCTCCCGCGCTATCGACCAGCTTCGACACCTTCAATGCGCGTTATACAGTTTAACAAAAAATAATAATATTCTCGTGTCACAATATTAGTTAGCACAGTAGTGTTCCGAAACGGCCGGTCACTATCTATCTTTTGATTGTCCGCGCGGACGAAGAAATACAACAACAGTGCCTTCCTTACAATACAACAACCAGCCGATTGATATTTCTATAATATCTCCTCCTATAGCCTCTCCGTAACCGTCCACAGGTTATACAGCGTGGGTTATATATGGGTCATGAACGGATATTTATCCTTTAAACTCAAGTTATTTTTTGCGATTTTACATGGATCCGATGTCATTTAATTATTTTTTTAAACCTTGTAAAATCAGATATTCCAATGAAATTGTTCCGGGCACCCGAAATATTTTAATTACAGTGATAATATATTTTATCGAATAAGCTTTATAATTGGCCTTTCGTACAGTTACGTATTATATAAAATTTATTGAACATTTAAGACATTTTTTAGTTCTATTGAAACTCGTGGAATATGCTTTAAGATTAAACGATATATTGTACCCCCCCCCACCCCACCCCACCCCAAANNCCTAAAGGTGATCATCCGTCTATTAAACTTCATTCTCTATATGTATACATACATATTAAATGATGCATCTGTCTGTCTGCAAGTGAAACAGACATCTTGTTCTTGTTAGTGTGTCTACTACTTAGTGAAACTTTACAATATCGCTACTTGTTGGCTGGTACATTCTGGTTTCCTACTTGCGTTATATTTTTACGTCGCGACACCACAGATAAAAAAAAACTAAAGAGATACGAAAATGATGAAATAAGTACGATTTACAAATAATTTGGCAATTAACTAGTTCATGAAATAGTGATCCGGGTGATTAACATGTTATACCGCGAGTGAGGTGCGCGCCGCCGCACCGCCGCAACCGCTGCAACCGCTGCGACCGCCGTGACCGCACGCACGGATGGAGGCAAAAGGTTTCTTTTACGTGTCACTGCGCTGTAAGACTTAGGTTTAAATGTAAGTTCGACCTTCGCATTCGCAGGTGCCCCGTTGGCGGGAGAAGCTGTACCCGATCCTGACGTCGGCGGAGGGCACAGAGCCCCTGGATGACCGGGAGCGGGAGCGGCGCCATAAGAAGCTGGAGGCGGAGGAGAAGAGGCAGCAGAGGTGAGCAGAGCGCGCCCCCGCCCCCGCCCCGCACCGGAGTGCAGGACTGATGTGCGTGTGGTTGAAGGTGGTACGTGCGGCGGCTGCGCGAGGAGCGGCACACGGAGCACCTGCGGCGGCGCGAGCGCGAGCGCAGCGGCGCCCCGCCCGCGCCCGCGCCCGCCGCACGCCCCGCGCCCCCCGCCTCGCTGCTGCACCCCGCGCCGAGCGACGCGCTCTTCATACAGCTCACGGACCTGCTGCCTGTCGCTGCCTTCGGGGAGCCGCTGCCCGACCTGCCGCCCAAGTCGGTATCCGGAAATAAAACTACATATATATATATATATATATATACCAACTATGTGTATGTCATTATATATTTTTTTCCGATTTCAGAGCCTTCATGCTTAAATGGATGAAAATATCCAAAGCACTGAAGCGGTTGAAGAGATCTCAAACGTTGCAATGAAAGTGGGCAGCGATGCGCCGTTTGGCCGTAGTGCAGTGACGTGTGCCCCCGTGCCCCCGTGCCCCCTGCTCGCCTCGGACCTCAGTGAGGAAGAAGTGTTGTATTGTGCGTGCCGTTCTGCTGGCTGGACATCCGGTGCTCGGCTCCGCTTTACGGACACCTTATAGAACTAGACAAAAGAACGTGTTTTAGGAGATATTTAGTTGATTGTGTTGCTGTTGAGAGCCTCTCCTTCGCGTAGACGCGCCTGCCTACCTGCGCAGTGCGACTCCACTTGCAATAATGCTGATGGTAGCCGGCACCGGCACCGGCACCGGCCCCCGCCCCCGCCCCCCCCCCGCCCCCGCCCCCGCCATCATCAGCATTATTTTTACTATATTTTTTATTTGTTTTTTGTGAGTTTTTCCAATTTAGAAGATAAATATTAGGATAAGAGATATATTTCAGATGTAGATGATTTGTGTCCGAGCTGTTGCTTCTCAATCAATTGTCCCGCAATCAAATGCCCACTAAAGTCAATCACAATTAGTTTCTCTGTTTTTCAACTCATAGTTTTTATTGCAGGATAGTTAAATGAATATAACATGAATATTTAGTTACGTAGTGATGTATAAGAATTGTCTTTTTAAAATCTACCTACAAATATAATTTAATGTAAGCAAAAGTGAAATATAATCGCTGAACATAAATGTAAGGAAACTTAGAGAAGATATCCTTCGCTTCATGTGAATCTACATAAAATAATATGAATTAGATGATGTTATGTACTTCCGCCTTTTTATCTGCAATTTAATGTAACTGTATTTGTTGACGATGTGCGACACCGCGCCGCACACCGCGCGCCGCACACCGCACGTAGAGGTGCACGATTAAATAGCATTTATCGAAACATAATATGTAGTTGTAATGATGTGTACTGTGTGTTCAGTGTACATACACTGCTCTCATGGAATATATGTATGTATGTATGTATGTATGTACGAGCAGAGATGTACGGAGAATAGCTCTGCCTTGTGTATGGGCAAGTGGGCGAGGGTAAAGTGCGCCGCCCTCCGCCCTCCACCCTCCGTACATGCCTCGCTATGAATATGCATTGTATCACGTACAGTTGAATGTTGTTAGATGAAATATATTATATTATATATCGTATGATTAGGTGTGTACATGTATGTAAGAGCGTGTCGGCGCTCGCCGGCTCGCCCGCTCGCCCGCTCGCCTTCACATACAACTATACAACTGTCCGCTTTATCTATTTCATGTGGAATTTTACAAATATTGTAGTAGAAACTGTAACGTAGTGCACACACACACACACACACACACCACACCGGAACCCCCACCCCCATGGATCACCTGAGGGGTGAGATGTAAACCATCAATCATCAGATGGCGGCTCCTTGTTTAATTGTTAGTGTACCAGTTTAATCCACTATATGTAGTATAAAGATCTCATTAATTCTTAACATTGGATAATATGTGCTTTTTTTTAATATATTATCGGCCATATTGTTGTCTATTAGAGATATATATATATATAGTGGAAGGCGCCACATCAAACCTTCAATTTATTTACTTTCTATAATTGTCTTGTTCATTTTTTAATAGTACGTAGAATAAGATTTTTGAATAAATAGAAGTGTTCGTGTAGACGTTGTAGCGCTGCGCTGTTCGCTCTCAAGTTCTCCATGTGTTTGCCGGATGTGAGGGAGTGTGCCGGCCATCTCCGGAGTACCATCTCTGAGCGTATATTATATATTATTATTTTCTTATGCTTGCGATAAATCATGTGATACTTCTGTTTACGTTAAACTCGTAGAATAAATGGACATTAAATATCTTTCTGTGTGCTATTCGTTTCTCTTATTTCTCACTGGTGACAAAACGTTATTAATCGCCAGGCTTGCATAATCCCAGTTCCGCGGAGACCCAGCACGCGGTGAACCGGACCGGATGAAGCGCCCGCTGGGGGAGCCCCCCCCCCCCCACACGAATATTTGCGACAGGCGCCATCGTATTGTCCACAAAATTTAAATTAAAATTTATAGAACGCTTTCGCTATTTATTTAATTCATATATATTTCTTAATCGCTGGAAATACATAAATCGTACTAACTACGAGTGCCCACTGTTGCGAGACTGCTTTCTCAAAGAATCGACAGCGAGGTCGCTTACGAGGACCACGTTGGCAGCGATCGTCCTTTAAATAAAAGTGCGGCAGAGGGGACTGCGGGGGCTGGCGTGACAGAAGGCGTTGTTCTCGGGCAGCGGCCGCGGCAATGCGGAGCTGCGCGCCAGGTGCACCCGGGTGGTACCACGTGGCCGCCACGGTGGAGCCGCGCCGCCGCCGCGCTGCCCGCCCGCTGTCGCTTCGCGCTGCAGCTCCTCGGCCGCCTGCGACATCTCTATGTGCTCCTCGCTTTGCCTCACTTTCTTTATTTCCTCATTGGGAAGTTTCCACCGAAACCTATCTTCTTTTAAATAGTTCAGTTTTTGTATTCCTAAAAAAAACATGACAGTCAATACAGGAAATAACTATGTTATCATAATAGTACCATAATGGAGTTCTTATAAAAAGCAACACGCATATATTATTAAGATATTTGTCGGATAGGTAGGTGAGGTGAGGTGAGGTGGGATAATAATAAACAAAAATAGAGTAGGTATTTACCGTGCGCAGTGGTTGCAGCGGGGGAGGTGCTTTGTGGCACGGAGTTTTGAAGTGCGCGGGGGCTCGTGGTGATAATGTTTGCCAGTGCATGTGCCGCGGAAACCGCAGTTGGCACGGCTGTGGCCGCAGAGGCTCCAGCCGACACAGCGACGCCGGCAGATTCAGTCGCGAGGGGCTCACTCGTCTCTGTCCAATTTATAGGACTCGACTGTTCTTCGGGAACTTTGCTCGTTGCCGATGCGCTTGTAAAAGCATTATTTTCGCCTAGAATGTTAACAAAACTGTAGGATATTTAATTTTAATTTAAATTATAACAGTAAAAGACCTTGCAAATTACTATTTATTATAAATAAAATTATGTGGGTACAAAAATAGATTAAAATTCAAATACATCTTTGAATCCTAACACCTTTCAGACAAAAGGCGACGTAAACCTTCAAAAGCAGGCGATTTGTCGCTTAGCTACTTAAGCAAGACGATGTCATCTACTTCGTACACAGCTACGCGTCGCCTGACGTTTCGGTCTTTCATCGCCAAAGCCAATCGCTCGCAACCAGTTTGTCAAGATCGTGGCAAAATATCGCCATCGTTTTTAAGGTGACGGAGAAAATGTATACAGTCGACCAGTAGTTATGTCTGTACTGACAGAATACGTTGTATACGCAAAGATGAATTGACTACGTGAGTCACAGTAAGAAGCGCGCTCATCGCGATACGCGCAGGTTACGCTTACCTTGTGTACGAAGGGGACTACTGTGTACTTACATTAGTATAAAAACAAATAAAAGCATTAATAAGTTGTAAACCTGGGTGGGCCCCGAAGGAGTCTTCGTACTGCAACTGACGACCACTGCGCCCACCGCCCGGGCCTTTCAAAAAGGTAGCAAAGCACGGTCATAAATATTACATTCGAGCCAGAAATGAACACGCGGCAGGAAAGCGGCACATTTTATAGTTTTGCACATAAGGTCCGGTATTAGAGAGGGAAGAGAACTTGAATTTATAGCAATAGTTATAAATGCGAAGTGCGAATTCAACTAAATTATAAAATCAATAAAAATACTAAAATATAATATTTACATATTTATTTAAGTCATGTTTACTTACCATGGAATCGTCTAAAAGGTGCATCTGAAAGAAAAATATGTAAGTACTTAGAGTCGCCGATGTTTCTATTTTTATTTATTACTATTGTTATACAAATTTATTTATTTTTCATATTTTTAATATATGTTTAAAAAAAATATACAACATATGTTAAAAAGGGCACCACGTTTCACAAGTTGGGTGATTTACGCGGCAATTGGTTCACATCGTGTTTAATATATATTCACATAGGATCACTCAGTGAACATGACTGAAAAGCCTGACAGGGTCACAGCGACAGCTGACGTGGTGGTGTCAAACAACTCACCGTATGAATAGTACGGGCCGGGCCAGGGCGCGCCGTCACCTGGCAAAGCGGCTGTCGCCGGCGCTACGAGGCTCCCGGTCGTCCTACGCCTTGCCATGCCTGGTGCAGTGACCAATCAAACACAACAATGTCATCAATATGTTGAAATCGCTACAGTTACAGACCACCCTACGCTATATCAGTACGTACGTACTGTGCCGTGCGTGTCATATCCAAGAGAAGGAAGAGTACAGTGTCAAGTATAAAATGTATGAAATATCAATAAAACAAGTAAGTCGTTTGACGGGAAACTTCTGTATTACCTTGTTTCTTATCATACCTTAAATTAAAGTTATAAAAAAACAGTTATCATCAAAAATAATTATATCAGTCTTCTCTAATTCAACACTCACATTCGCACAAAACATATAAGTGTAAATTGCGTACAAGTCGCTCACCGGATCTGAGAATATCAACGAGGACGAGCGCCTGGCGCAGCTCCTCGCTGGTGTCGGAGACAGGGGATGGGGTCGCCAGCGTCCCCAGGGCCACGAGCGCCGCGCACCCCGCGACCACCGCGCACCACCCGTCCGCCTTCGCGACTGCAGCTGACATCAACAACTAATTCACATGAGACGGCAATCCGCACGTTCAAACCACGACCAGCCGGCCGGCTAGGCCACGAAACTATACGCTAGCTATAAGCTGAGCGGAGTACACAGAAGAGCGACTTCCCGCACTATGTCAAGTAAATGATCACGCGATCTATAATATTATCATGACATGGCGACGGCAGCTGCATCGCCTGACTTAGCGTACCTAGACGAGAAAAACGAATATTAGAATAATAACAAAGTTTTGAAAAGCTGACGGGCACGTTCCATAGGCGCGATCGATTTTTGTAACATCTGTTCTTGTATGGCAAAGAGAGAGAGAGAGAGAGAGCAAAGAAATCCAAAATATCATGTGTTCGATCGACTGTAAAATGTGCGCCTAGTGAGGCGTGGCTCCGTCACATAATGTATACTAGGTGCTAAGTGCTAAGTGCGCGATAAGCTCCAAACATAAACAGTTGAGCAACGAATGCATTCAAATTTATTTATGTTAGCACATTTGAGAAAAAGCTGATTTAGAGTCGATAGCGTTTGTTAGGATATCAGAATCACACAATCGCGAAATGTGTGTATGTGCATTAAAATAAAACATATCCGTTATTTGTTATTATTCATTTAATATAATGTTTATATCCAGGGAGGCATAGTGCCTTGGTCCGGTGGTCCTCAGCAATGAACCGCAAATTATCATTTCACGTTTAGTTTGTGGGCGGGGTCGCGGATCGGGCGCTGCGGCCTCCTGCGGGCGCGTCTAGGTCGGGCGGGCCGGGCCAGCTGGCGCTTGGCGGCGGCGGCGCAGCACACCGGCGGCGGCGGTGGCGACTGTGCGCTCTGCTCGGCGCGCCGTTCCGCGAGGCGCAGTGCGACGCCCGAGGCGGTTTCGAGGCAGGCAGCGGGCGCCCGCGGTGCCCACGACACCGCGGGCCAGGCGGGCGGCGGCGGAGGGCACACCCGTCGGGGCCGCGCCTGGTACAACCGCGGATTCGGTACCAGCTGGCTCGCCGGCCTCATCTTCTTCTTGCGGTGTAGTTTTGTATTGCTTCCTTTAGGTTTTTTCTTTGAAGCTCGTACGCCTGGATATCTAGGATGAGGTGAAATTCTCAAAGTCGTGATCGTAATAAACGAAATAAAAAAACGTTAATGCAACGGCGACGATGAATGATACTCACAGTCTGGTGTTGGGCGTGTATGGAGCGCGCGCACGTCGCCTGCGCGGTCCGCCCAAGTCGATGACGTCGCCCGGCTCGCCACCGCTGCTCGGCCAGATGAGATGACACACACACATTAGTAACAACACAAATTACTATCGATACAAACGTGCAAGCAACATTATCAACAGGCTGCTCTTCTCCTTTCCGACGCTCGGCACAGTTTGTAATATTACGTCACAAATAAATGAAAGAGACGTTCCCCTACTCATACTTTGTAAGATTATCTAGAAATTACATAATTAGTAGTTTGCAACGTCTGAAAAAGGACAATGTCTCTCCATTACTTATTGTTACATAAGGTATTTTAACTCTCTCTTAGAGCATAAATAGGTAAAACGTTCCTTACTGTTCTTTTTTTTTCTTAATAACCATTTTGTATGACGAGGGAAACACAGGAACACGAAAAAATTTAGATTTATTTACAATTTTCAAAATTTATATTTTTGTAAGATGACAGACAGACTTTGACATAATCTTAGGAAAACATTGAAAGAATATATATGTCCTAGATATATAAAAACCCCCATCACGAGGGCGGCACAATGTGCAACGATATTGCAACACTTTACATCTGTGTCAATACATCAATATAGTAGAACAAGGAATACTGGCAAATACTGTCCTCACTGACTGGTCGCAGAGAATATATATATATATATAGTGTGCCTATTTCAGATAGATTAGTGTGACTCACAACTGACGTCTATAAAATATCGAATTAATTTTGTATGATGGTTAATATTGTCTTTAATGGACGGTTGTCATAGTGTCGGACCGTAGGAGCATTACGATCAACTATTATATATCGAGATTCGGCTTGTGATTAAATTAATCGAACAAATGGGTACTATTATATAATTTAGGTATTCTATAAATTTTTTTTGGAATTTATTAGAGTTATGTTATGTATCGGATAATTCATAAAAAAATCTATTTTGTTCGTAAACACTGTAATCTTTAGTTTAATGTCTTATTTATTTACGTCATACGTATGAAGTATAAAGTAGGAATAGAAAGATTAAAGACAATTATATTTATATTGTAATTTAAAAACAATAATCCCGAAACTTTTCTATTGCAAGTTAAATAAGAACAAACATCGGAAATCAAAAAAAATCTTAATCGATTTTACTCAACCCATGTCTTGTGAATTGTCAAAGTAATATATCTTAAATAGACACACTATAACTCGTTTGATGTGTCACCCTCGGCCCCGGTGTGACGTGACCGCTGTGAAATGAAAGCAAACTAAATGTATTACAGGAAATAATGCAAACTAAAGGTAATTAAAATGTATTCAAAATGTATTCATTCACCGACCCACAGATCATATGGGCCGGGCCGCATCGCGCATTTGTCCATTGTGCAGTTGCCATGTTATCCGTCGGGCCAGCACCATCCTCGGACACGATCCGCGCAGCTTAGCAAGGTGCGCCCCGTTATAACTAGATCAGGATAATAAATGATTTATCATCTTCAGTGTCAGGTTTACTGTGGTACTGTGGACATTCCCACAAAATGTGATTAGTGACCTCCTCAGCGAATGACAGCAAAGCGATATGATGTGTTTAGCGGAAGACCACTGCGTGTGTTGGCGACCGTACGACGAGGTAGACAGGTACGGACCGCGGGCGTACCGCGCCAGCCGCGGCCTGCTCGCGCTTGAAGACTGGCGCCAAGACCCCTTCCTCTGGCTGCACCATGTGCCGACCAACAATGGACTGCAAACTATTGACTACATCCTGGGGTGAACACTCTTATATCCTTATCGAGCGCCATCACCCTAAAGGTTAAGGGAAAGCGCATCCGATCACGGGATCGTGGATCCGAATCCCGCCACTCGACTATTCCTGACCTATAAGAAGTTCAATCTAATTGAAATAATTACTAGAAATACTTGTTACTTTGCTAAGATTAGGAACTAAACTAAACTCAACACATTTATTAATTTGGATTAAAAGAAAATACATATATTTCCATTTGATTTACACAATTTACTAAGGAACAATTTGATTGGTACAAAGATCGTTCTATTCGTTCTATTTGTAAAGTGCTTAAGCACAACAACACACACCGGACGAGTGGTGACCTGGTCGATTGGTACTCGCTAGTACAGGGACTGGCTTTCATCAGTGGACTGCACCGACATAATACTTAATTTATAAATAAGGCGTGTTCCAGTTCGGATGACACGTGCTTCTGGTCCATACCCGAAGTGGAGCGGTACTTCGTGGGTCGCGTGCACTGCGAGCCTGTGCTCTTCCCTGCCCAGTATCCCACCCTGCCTCTGCCCACTCCGCACGGCAACCACCTCTGGAGGACTCACACGGCGCAGAAAAGATCGCATTTTACCTACTTGAAGGAGTTTCATAGATGTTTACAGACAACTATGAAGGTTTGTGGTATATATAATACTTAATAACAATATCAGCAAGCCACTTGCAGGTCTGCCCTAAACAAGACGCGCGTTACAATACCCCTTCGTATTAAATACGTAAATAATGAAAATATACACTATTCTTATATAGTTATGGCACACGTCTCTCTCTGACATCTTAACAACATCCTATCATAAGTCTGATTAAAATGTGTTGCGGACCTTAGAATACAAACTGTCTTCTTTATTTGTTACTAGATTTGATACTCAGATAGAAAAGCTAATACTCAAATACAAAAAACGACCAAGACCATTAACTCGTGAATCCGTTCATTATTTATAAACGAATTTAAAATTTTTGTTAATGAATTAACTTTTACGTTAACTTGAAATCTGTTAACACTTTTCTTCACTTTCGTTAAATTCAACTTCCTTTGATTTATACGAGTATATATATAAATATTTACGAGAGGAGCATGTGTTGCTGTTTCAGAGGATGGAGCTGGAGGAGAGTCAGATGGAGCGCTTAATCCTCAGCGACAGATTGATACAACTCGACACCATGGACTACTACAAGAGGAAGAAATACTTCCAAAGTCTTTTGAATATTCTGAGGTGCGTCCTCACCTACTCTATATACTCGTAATACTAACATTGTCCCTTTCTATCTAACTCACTAACAAAGTAATATTTTCTTGTTTCGCTTACACATACATAACATAACCGGCTTGCGGGCTAATACAAAATATAGTAACAATATATAAGATTAATATAAATCAAAAACAGCCCTTAGTATAACTATAAGAAGTTAAATTGAACATAAATGATATAAGTCATATTGAGAATAGATTATGATATAAGTAAGCGATGACATATTATTTAAGTTTACTTTTGAAAACTTTAACACTTTCACAGTTCTTTATCTTTATCTCGTTTGGCAGTTTATTAAGTATTTGAGAGTATGAACTTGCTTCTGTGAATGAGAATATGCCTTCTTCAAATTTTCTTTTTGTGAATTGTGCTTAAGTTGATGGATCAAATCATTTCTCATATTTATAGCATCGATTATATTTTTGTTGATCCATTTCGGGTTAGATTGTTATATTTGATTTTGTCTATCTTACTCTTGATTATTATTTTTAAAATTAATTTCTCTAAATTATCGTAACTATCCAGAGTGTGTATATTATTTGCCAGTGAACCATTTTAGAGAAGCTTTTCATAGTTAATCGATTTATAATGTATCTGCTTGTGGTGTGACAGGGATGATTCGGTAGTTGACATGCTAAAACAGTGATTCAGTCCACATTACTACGTATTTATATGGGCTATATTTTTTTATATCACAAGATGCGGGCAAACGAGCGAGCGGCCACCTGAAATCGCTGAAATAGCGAAGTGACCGTTGCCCATAGACATACGCAATTCCATATGCGTTACATACCTTTTATCGACGGAGGAGAGGATGCACAGAAAGAAAATATTTTCCCTTCACATGCATCCTCTCATCCGGAAAGTCCACTTCCACTTCCCATTCTTTCCTTATAAGAAAAAGGGTGGGAAGGACAAAAGGACCAAAACAGGTCTATGATAGTGTTTACCCGTGCCTTATCCGTGGCGCGGGTAGAGTAGTCTAAGTGGATTTTATTTAATATTTCGTGTCCACACTCTTCTATGGCTTTTACATATTTCGTGACGTCATTATCTTTTTTCAATAAATCAATATTAAAGTCGCCGAATACAATCAACCTTTTTCGTGTCTCTAATTATGATGTATATATATCCAACAAATTATTCATCTTATTTCATCAAATTTCTTTTTCGTTCTAATACTTCTTAAATAGGCATAAAAGAAGTGGAGTGATAATGGAGTCTGGCCAAGGTTTTCACATTTGTTTGCTCGATGATGACTTATCTTTTCTTCATTTTTTGTTATTTGTTTCTTGACTGTTGAGTTATGATCTTTGGTGTTGCTTTTACATATTTTATAATAAGGTTCTGTCCCTACCGTACTCATCTCTATCCAAAGTTTTAGTTGTCCTTCAATCTACGGTAAGCGTCGGTGGCTCAGGAGTGAAGCACTTGACTTGCAATCTGCAGATAGGGGGTTCGACTCCCGCCATGTACCAATGTGTCTTTCGATTTCCGATTTGCATATGTTCTTACGGTGAAGGAAAACATCGTGAAGCAAACTGTTCATATCTAAGAAGAAATTCAAGGATATGTGAGAAGTCAACCAACCAGCATTGGGCCAGCGTGGTTGACTATGGCCTAGTTACCCCAAACTTTGGGTAGGCTCCGAGCCGTGCAGTGGGCTCACTATAGATGATGATAAAATCCACGGTATGCCCACTTAAGTGGCGTTTGCAATCGGAATTATAAAACACTAGCTGGCACCCGCGACTCCTTTCTTGGGGAATTAAAAAAAACGCAATTAATAGGCTATGTGTTCTTCCAGTTTTATATGTATGCCAAATTTAATCGAGATCCGTTCAGTCGTTCTGGAGCTACCTTCTAACATTTATCCATCCATCCATCTTAACCTTTGCATTCATAAAATTAGTAAGATATTAGTGAGATTGGTGAGATTACTTACATTTTAATGTTTACGTAAAAGAGGTAAACGCATAGAAATTTAGAAAATATTATTTTGTGGCAAAACAGCTTCTTAATGATTAGGTTACCTATCCAAGAAAAAAACTTATTGAATTTTACGATCATACCGGTGTTTTCCGATACCCTGATAATGTATGTACACGGGTTTTTTCTATAAAAATATCTTCGTTATTGTATCAAATCCCTTAAAATCTATTTTCAAACATTTTGAAGCCCTCTAACGTTGAAAGTAAACAACGTTGAATAGAGATTATAGGTTACATAGTCATAATTTCAGCCTAGGAATCTTTGGTGTTCGGTTATAAATATAACATGGTATTTAAACAATTTATATGTAAATAAAATGTCATATACAAGTTTTCAGGATGGTCTGCAATTGGTGTGTTTTGAAAACCTCCGTTGCTCGCGGCTGGAGGGTGTTCGTCTGGTCCAGCAGCTCGCCTGTTTCAACGCGCACTCGCTAAAGTACTTATTTCTCTGGCGGTTCTTTGACAGCAATGAGAATCCTCTCCTCGTTAACTATAGCTACATTACAGGTGCGTCCTCGTCCTTAGTTCATACAATTTGTGACTAGATCTCGTTTTATTGTAATTGTGCCCTAGATGAAGTGGCCTTCCACAATAATGTCTAGTTTGTTTGTATTGTGTAGGAATATGGTAATGATACGGTAAAGCATTGATTGTGTGTTGGTACAGGCAGTGGCGCGTATATCCCGCGGCCGCGCACCGCGCACTGCTTCTCGCGCAGCCTGGGAGAGCTGCTGAACCTGCGCCTGCTGTCGCTCGAGTACGCCCACTTGGCGGACGGCACCGGCAACGCGCTCCTCTCGCTGCTTTCTATACTAAAGAGGCCTCATTTCACACTTCAGGTTTCACATTTACCGCTTGATGATTAAACAAATATTACTTATTATAAAACTTGTCAAGTCCAGTTATATGCGCGGAAGTTATAACTATTAGCCAGCTATCTAACATATACCTTAATTATTTTCAATTTACTTTTCGCTTGGTACTTTTCAAGAGCATAGAGTACTATCACACGACACTATTAGCTGCTGTGCGTGGAGGAGCAGACTCCAGGGCGCGCCGAGCCCGCACTGGGCGGTGGCGGGCTCGGCGTGCCGGACGGCGCGTGGCGGCGCGTCACCGGCGCCTGCCCAGACCTCAACCTCGTCCTGCTCTTCTGTAACTGTTATCTACTTTCTTAACAACCTCAGTATTTGCAGAAATTAATGTGATGTAATTAACTCTGATATAGTCTTCAAGTTCAAGCGTATACAATATTACTACGAGTGTTTCGTTCCCAGTTGACAAGAGATGACAGTAGTGAAAATGTTATATACTTTAGCAAGAACAACAACAACAATATTACATATATGTGACTCCACGTTTGCAGATCGTATGTGGGATTACGAGCAGGTGAGGCGCTTCTTGAGCCCGAGCGTGCCGCTGCGGGAGGTACACTTGCACAACGGCACGCGACTGCGGGGCGCTCTTCTGGACGTCGACAGTTTCCTCCGACACGTCGCTTACTATTACGCCAGCACTCTGGGTCTGCTCGCACTTTGTCTATGTATATATACCTATATGAATATGCATGTAACGTATGTAAAACACTATTAGTGTTTTCAAATATGTTGTCGGCCCAAGGACATCACTGCGCTGCGCAGTACCCTCCCCCAGCATCCCGCCCCATCTTCTGTGCAGCGACTCGCGCGAAGTCAAGGGCCGCCAAGAAATTCCACACTGTAATCAATCTCTGTTCCAATATTGATTGTAATTTTTTCTTCAGTTCCAGAGTGATGATGTGGTAACAATCACACTTTCTTATTTATAACATTTAATATAATATGATTCTGTGTGTAGTGACATTAAGCGTACAGCAACGGACGAATGGCGCGGTGCCGCTGCGGGCGACGCTGGAGCGGCTGCCGGAGCTGGCGCGGCTGGTGTTCGTGGGCGCGGTGCACGAGGAGGACCTCAGGGACTTGCTGGTGCTCGTTGCCTGCGGCGTCTGCTACAGTCAGCATCTCTCTTTGGTCTCAGTTTGATGGACGGTTTCCTGTGTGGGAAACGAATTTATTACTTTAACTGAAAACGGCCGACATACCAAAGTGTAATTGGGGAGTTGATGATTGTTTTATGAGTTAATAAAGTGAAACCATTCGCATTTATATTGCAGGACTGGAAGAAATAAAGATTCTGGTGGAAGCGGCCACCGACGGCAGAGAACATTGCCAAGTTGTCGTATCTCGTCTGAGGGAACAGTTTACCGATATCATGAAACTTTTCGATATTGACTTTACTTTGACTTTATATAAAGTTTAGTTTTGAAATTTTGTAATAAACTTAACGAGAATTTAAATAGTGTTTGTTATCATACAGTTTATAATAGACATATTATTAAATTGAATCTCGATGCCTCTAATATGAAGATAAATGCATAAAACTACGTCCTTACAAGAACCTTATGATATGAAGTATCTTACTAACATTGACTGAGCCTTATTTTACAAAAAAAACATGAGTTATTGAGTATAAATATAATATGAGACTAAAATGTCTTATCAAAGAAATAACATTTTGTACGTTTTACAAAGTTTGATTGGAAATAGCGAGTATTTCCACATTAGCTTTTAATTCCACAATGATCCGGTGACGGAGACGGAGAAAATGTCATATTGACAGCGTCGTAGTTTGATCAACGAGGGAGCGGCAGCTGTGCAGTTGAGTGTTGCCACTTTCGTAATTTCGAATACCCCAAAAAATGTCACGTATGTTATAACATGAAGTTTAAATTGCAAATGTGTTTGTATGTATCAAATTAAATTGCAACACTTTGTACTAAAGTGAAAAGCAATTATTTTTAGGAGGAGAATATTGATTTTCGTACACGACATGTTTAAGACGGTCATTAGATTAGGCATCAGAACGACTAATGAAACGGTTTATGACTTTCGCGACCTTAACATAGTAATAAATTTTTTCCAAAGCAAAATGGCGTTGTTACAGATTGTTCCTTGTTTGAGGAATGTGGGTGTAAGAAAATCGATGTCGTCCAGCAGCAGCAGAATCGCAGCAGCGGCGGCGGCGGCGGCGGCGGCGGCGGCGCGCATGCGTTTACCGCGGGATTGGGCTCAGCCGCCGCCCCCCGATGCCGCACAGCCGCAGTTCTAGTAAGGTTTCTGCTCAGGACGGACGCGTGCTTAATACACTTCTAGATATATTTATATCTATAAAATACTTTGTTGTGCTTGTGTGTACTGATGTAAGAAAACCGATTCAAAAATGCCGAATACTGAAAAGCCACCCACGATACACACGTAAGATTATATTTAGTCCGCTAAACTAATATATATACATATATATATTGATGATTTGCAATGATTTAGCTATATTATAATGTTGAATGTTTAAAGTATATATAGTATATATATAAAGTATATATAAGCGCTATTTGATTTATTGTGTTAATTTATATAATGTACGCTTAGAAAAGTTTGGTTTGCAGCAATGTTATATATGATACGTGTGCATTTTCTGGCTATGTGTGTACGTTTGATCAATTACAAATGCTGCTACTACTAAGTACTCTGTTTTTATTCTGTGCGTTTATTCTTACTGAGTTTTTAATTGTTTCCTGTTTAAAATGGCGGGTGTAATAATATTAAAACAAAATGGCTGAGGAGCGGGCCAAAGGGTAATCGATTAAAGTGGAGCATGCGCGTTGCGGCTCGACACTGAAGCCGAGCTGAGCTGCAAGGCGCATGCCCCAGGAGCCCCGGGCGATGTGAGGTCACAGCGCACGCGCACTAAGCCTAACGAATGTTCTTTTGTCTCCTACTGATTTAATCTTCACTTTAATATTTAAATAATTTATAACTAATAAATTTAAGGTTATTGTGAATTAAAATAAACAAATAATCAAAATTAATCTTGCTCTTCTCGAAAGTTGTAGACAAAGACCCAAATGCATGTTATGGCGTGGGCGACGCGTGCCCGAAACCTGCCACCTTATTGCACGATTGCATGCCGTGTATTTTATTGTTCTCTAAATACGCAATCAAACTTTTTTATTGAATACAATTCGCCGCTTGCTTTTTTGTTATATTATAAAAATATATGAACAAAAATGTGACTTTTTTAACTGTCAGCTTCACGTGAAATTCTCCTTAGTTCATCTGATGAGAGAGAGATAGGGAGAAAGAGGAGCGACGCGGCTGACGGAGGTTACGTAGCATAAATATACTTGTGTTGCTACAAATTGTGTTTAAACAACGCATCATATGGAAATCCATCCAATGAAGTACATGTTAGAACATAACTAACTAGCAACTTAAAGAAATATATATTGTTGACCCACTTGCCGCGCTTTCTTTGTTTTCCTATAATTAAACTAACTGTAAATGTTTACCTACTGGGACACACAGAGACCAACCAAATTCAACATGTATGTAAATATATGTTAGTAATATAATTTTATGTGATCAGGTGCGAAATGGAGCACGTCGTGTCACTGGACCAGAGCCGCAAGGGGCTCGCTGCCTTCTTCACCATCGACCTGCCGTGCGCCATACAACTCATGGACATCTGGTCTGTCTATCATAAAAACACAAAACATTCTTACATTATTGCAAGCTACCAGCAGCTTGCAGGTTACAGAAGATTAAGCTAGAATTTATTTACACCCACGAACCTGAAAGACTAATTATATTTTATATATTTTACCCCTTTCTGGACTGGGCACTGGAACGCGATGGAAGTACACACTTAGTTGGTCTTGAGGATTTAATACCATCAAGAATTATAAACTAAATTAACATATAGTTAACGAGCATTGAGTTGAGTTAACCATGCAAGTAATCCGCACTCAACCAGCGAGAGTACATTTCGAACTCCGGTAGGCTGAGATCCCCTCTAAGAGGAGGACGTGACGAGCGATGGAGGAGGAGGAGGAGGATAGAGTACAGTGTGTAATGTGTTATTATGTTATGTAAAGGGCACGAAGTGGGAAGTGCCACCCGCCGTCGCGCACGCAGCAGGAGTATAACCCGCCCGTGATCCCGGCCCGACTCGACCAGGTACAATTGCTGCGTGCCACTATGCGTGGCGTGCGCTCCACATACTACCAGCAATGCCGGCTGCTGGCCCTCGTCGACCTCTACGAATCGGTAACTACACATGCGGACCACATACCATCTCTAATGTTCCTCGATTCATTATAAAACAAATAATTATAATATAGTTCCAATTGCTGCCAATTTTTCTGCCAGCTTTTAATTTTGAGCGACAGTTTGTTTGTTGCTGGTAAATGTTTTTGCTTTTACAATAATAAAAAAGAATATACGACAGACAGACAGTAAGTAACGCGTAGGTAATATTATATGTTGAGCAGATTGATTTCGGTTCGATGAGCGACATGAGGGCGGATGACATCATCAACGAAGCCTAGTCCGAGCTCGTGCAGGCTGCCGAGTTCCTCGTCGATAGCACGGAACTCGCCAGATTCCTGCAGGCATCGGTTAAAATTAACCATTGCTATCTTAGTCATAGGTAAGCTACGATGAACAAATACATACCTGCAGGAACATTGCATTCACCCTCGTACAACAATTCAATAGATTTATTTGGTCTTATTAAAAATCGAAAATTATAAATAATACATATATTTCATGGCAGAATGAATTTTAACTCGTAGTATTTTTACCAGGAAATCCTCCGATATAGTTCTTTACAAAATGTTCGATGAAAAAGATACCTACCTTCACTACCTCGAAAAGCTGCAACAGATTCTAAACACATTCAACGCCATCATCAGCACTCTCTCGCGCCGCATGTTCGAGATTGTCGATTTGTTCCACGTGAGTCTCTGATAAACCTCTCTCTTTGCCAAATATTGCATGTGATGCAACAAGAGTTAACTCATCATTATTGGTCAGGCGGGGCCGAGGAACGCGTGGACGTACCTCGCCAGGCACAGGCTGCAGCCGCTGCGTAACCGGTGCGCGCTCGCCACCGCCGTCTACCGCTACGCGGACAACGATTCTGACGAAATTAAGGCTCTGCGCAAATTTTGCCCTAAGGAGCTCAAATGGATCAATGGGTAACCATAATACGTAAATACGATAATGTCAGAAAGACCAACATTATATTGTTTAATAAGATACATTTAAAGAAATATTTAAAATAATATACCTACGTATAGGAGATGTGATGTGTACGTATGTTGTCAGCACGGCGACCATGTTCACGCGACGTCTGTCGCTGTGGCCGACGGAGGAAAAGCAGCGCCGGCTGGGCGTGTTCAGGTGCTACGAGGTGTACGGAGCCAAGCTGCTGCTGCCCCTGGTGGAGCTGCTCGCACTCGGCAACGCCGTCGCCGCGCTCGCACCCGACAACAGAATCACCAAGTACTTGCTACAAGTATGTATTACTAATACATTTATTTATCTAATTGAGTGAAAATACCGACAGATTGTTTCTTTGTTGTTACAACTACTGTTGTAAACTTTGTTTTCACGGTGATATAATTATGTAATATTATATAATATACAGCATTGTAAGAAATATCATTAATTTCCGTTTAGCTGTTTTGTACTAGGAATCAAAGAAATCTTCACTTAGATCCACTAACTAACTTTTTTTAAATTTGAATGAAGTAAAAAGTTTATTATCAAATGTAATGTGCCATGTTGTAATGTAGGAGGTGGATAAGGTGAACATCAACGAGGAGTGCAACAAGGGCTCTCCCACCGACGAAGACTACAAGGAGTACCGGGCGTACCTGGACTACATCAGCGGCTGCTGTCTCTCCGCGATCGACTCCCCGCGCGCCGCCATCAGGTCTCTCTCTAAAGTTACCAAGTAAGTAGTTACCACTCTCCTCACTCTCCCCGCACCCTGCTCATGTGCTGCTTATATGACAAACACTAATTTTAACTTTAAAATGATAAAATGTAATACTATTTAATTTGCAGGTCATTTCTGAACATACCTCAAAATCACAACTATTATCTGACTCCGTACGCGATGTTGGAGTCTGCGGTGTGCTTCCAGAAGCTGGGCCGCGAGAAGCGCGCGAACCGCCTCATGAGGAACGCTAAGTAAGCGCCTACTTCTGAAATCTGCCAGGCCTCTTATATTTGTAGCTAGACTAGCTGTTTCCCACCACTATGTAGGAATGTGGATATGTAGCAGATAGCAATAATGTATATATGTATGTATGTATGTTGGTTGACAGGAGACATTTCTACCGGAAGTCTGCTGAGATGCGCACTCTATACAACATGTACTCGAATGTACTCACCAAGGCCAAGGAGAAGCCGGAAGTGAAGCAAGTAGTTAAGGAAGAGCCACTCCTCGACATCAGTTCCATATCCTTGTAATGGTATGCGTATATCCTCTGTTATTTGTGTGCACCTCCTTCAATAACTGAATGTTTAGAAGAAAGTATGTGTTTAGGATATTGGTGTTTAGATGTAAGAAGTTATTTGACTAATATATTATGTGATCTCAGCCTCTCGGAGATCATCATCTCTGGAAATGATCAATGTTTTCGTATTTATTCTTTTCATCATCTTCTTCTATCGAATATTTTGTAAATGTGTCGGGATTTATATTGTGATATATATATATATTTATTTATTTATGTATTGAAAGAGTTAGTGTTGCATTTTGATGTGGCATTTTGTAAGAAGAAGGGTGTGGAAGACAAGTGACGCGGGGTAATTAGAAATAGAAGGTAATCCGGCTCAAAGCAGATAGCGATCGCTATCTCAATCCCGGAAAGGGTAGATAAATGAGAGCTAATTGAGAGCTTATATATAAGCTTATACATTTATTTATAAAATTTTCTAATATTTGATTTAGGATTTGAACTGGCTATTATATATGTTATAATTTCTACTGATTTTTGTAATATTATTTAAAATCAATTAATATAATTTAACTTGTATTTTATTTCATATTTTATTATAAATAAAGCTCAGTAGGAGAGTGATGTGACTTTTGATAAACTTTTTTAAATCCGACCATTACTTGTACTATGCATTATTTATCTATAATGAAAGTAAGTAAGTAAGTAACTACTACTTATGTAACTTACATAGCCACATCTGTTGGCTCTATTTTTATTGGACATATGTTTCTAATGAACTTATTATATACTTTACTTAATAATATAACATTATTACGTCTTTAACAAATGTAGTGTAGTTACTTTCGATACATTTACTGTATTTACTTAATATATATATATATATATATAAATATATATATATGATGTTTATATATAAAAGTGTAGATGTAAGCAAATTATACAATAGGTATGACGTCATCGACTTATGTCAAAGAAAGGAACGGGGCTTGGCTCTGCACTACTCTGTGGTATGAAGGACAATTTCAAATCAATCGTAAAGTGAATACCATTTATAAGGAATTTTGATGTATTGTGTATGTGCAAGGCGAAGGCAAAGGCAAAAGCAAAGGCAAAGGCGGTGCAGACTTTGAAACCTTATTGTTTTTGTAAAATTCGTAATGACTTAGTAGATTATTGTTAACTTACATAAGTATTATAAATGTAATCTCACTTTAAACGTATTTAATGTTGATGTCGCCACTTCATCATTCTTGTATACTTGATGCGATGTCTGATGCAATGTCAGGTGACGTGAGGGTCACCTCGTCAGTGAGGTGACGTGATGTGACGTCACATAAAGACATTTTCCGATATCAATCGAGGAATTCTACAATTATCGTAATATATTATAATATGTATACTTCAATATACTATTTTGTCTGAAATAAATGTGATTAGAAATGTGTGTTGTATCATTGTTTAATGCATACTATACTACTGCAATAACGGCGACTTCGATCGCGTCAAATTCTGTCTTCGGGTGACATTTTTAATGAATTAAAATAATAAAATATGTAAAGATTTACTTTACATATTCTCATAAAAACTTTCATTCCCTATTCTGCATAGTTATTTTGTACGAATATTCTAAAACATAATCATTTACATCAAATTAATAGCCAAAAAATAAGTCTCAAGCTTCCAACGGTAAAAATGACGATGTTCCCATACAATTTTCCATCCCTCCTTTCCAACCCCTACAACACTTTTTTGCGCACAAAAAAGTAGCCTATGTCATTTCTCTGGCTCTAGACTTCTTGTGTACCAAATTTCATTTAAATCGGTTCGGTACTTTTGGCATGAAAAAAGGACAGAGTTACTATTGTATTAAAAAGAATTAACTGCTTGGAGCGGATTTGTAACGCCATCTGCTAGATGGCAGCACATGACAAGGCGCCTAAGCGTCTTCCTTCTCCCTCACTAAGCCAAAGTTACGCATGAATTTCTTGTGTGAGAGGAATCCAAGTTAAATTACATGTAGTCTGTCTGTCCTCTATAATACAAATCCGGCATCAACGTTTCCTGCCAAAAGCTTGCTGCTTTTTAAGATGTCGCAAACGACAATGAGATAGAGGCAAAATTTACCCAACAAGTGGAATGTGGCATGTTCACACTTGATGGCTTATGGTACATAAAGTTGTGTGGGTACTGCGCCTTGACTTTTGTATCCCAGATATTCTGACACACTTGAAGCATGTGTGTACCTTGACACAAGTCAGAATACGGGGTACAGGGCAAAGAGTATATATAATGGTACGGGGTCACATGCGAGTTCTTTAATTTTCGTACAGCGCCATCTAACAAAATAGTCAGTAACTAACTAAGCGGCAAACAGTGCCGAAGTAATGCGGATTGTGATGTGATACACACACACACACGCACAGAGACAGTACGCTCACTTATAATTGTGTTTTATTTGAGCGAAGAATCTAGAAGAGTTATGTTAGTAGATTAGTTATAGATTCGATCAATAGTTCCGCGCAGTAGAAGTGCGCACCTCACGTGGTCACGGGGAGAACATGCCGCATTGCGGATAAATGTGGGCTCAATAAGTTTACACCTGCAATATTCGACCTTTTTCACATAAAACAGAGAGTATGTTTTAAACTGACCTGATCGAAGATGTGAACGCATGGCGCATGCTCAGAACTTGGGACGCTTGCAGCAGCCGCCTCCGCTCCCGCCCCCGCCCCCGCATCCGCCGCTGGTGCCTCGCCCTTATCGCTTGGTCCAGTGCTTTTGTTCGCGTAGTAGAGAGAGCTTTCGCCGCGCCGGTTGCTTGAGCTTTCTTATTGTTTCTTTGTCCATCGCTCTCTTGGCCCACGGGATGGAGAAAAACGACTCGGAGCATCCGGATATCTCAAAACCAGGTAAGTAATTGCAAAAAGATATACGTCTTTCTGTGGCCGCTTCTTTAAAGTGCCTTAGCAAAGGAACGTGAACAAAAGAAGAGATGTGACATAATGTGAAGTGTTCCAATTTTTAATATATTTAATGAGTGATTGGTGTTCATAAATAAGATTTGTGTGACTTGATAAAGTTCTCAGTGTTGTGTAGTGTTGTGTAGTGGTGGTGCGTGGTGGTGCGTGGTGGTGCGTAGTGGTGCGTGGTGGTGCGTAGTGGTGGTGTATGTGTCAATTAATTATTTAATTAAGTGTGTTTATAAAATAATATAAGCAATTTGTTTATTTTTAATTTGTTAATTTGAAATAGATTTCTATTTTAATGGTTTTCTAAGGAAATTGTAATAATTACTTATATAAAATTTGTAAGTGGTTTTGTATATAATATTATTATATATAGATTTATATAAACATAATTCCTATAGCAAGTGTTGTCTATAAAAATATACAAAAATAAGAAATAAGATCAATTAAAACTTTTAACAATAAAAATGACGTTTCAATGTTCGGTTCAACATCGTCATCGGGGCGGCGCGTACAGCGGCGCATACAGCGGCGCGTACAGCGGCGCATACAGCGGCGCGTACAGCGGCGCATACAGCGGCGCGTACAGCAGCGCGGCGGCTGCGCGCCACCACGCCCCGATCCCACCCCGCACCCCGATCGCACCCCACCCCCTCATCACCCCTTCCCTTCATAAGAACTGATTATTGTTTGTCTCGTTAAAAATCCAAAAAAAGGTATGAGAAAATGTCTGATAGTTTGTCTAATAGTACAACATAACTCCATGTAGATACGTAATTTTCATGAAATAACAAGAAAGTGTAAACGTTGTTTCACACCACATAATGGCCGCCATGTACGGAGCGGAGCGGAGCAGACTAGACGTTCCTCAGTTAACTCGACTTGTATGTTTCATTGTAACGAGTTATAGAAACGTACGTAGTTATAGCGTAGAATAAACATTAAAAGTTCAGAATAGTGAGTACCACACGCCGACATCGAAGTTAGCAAATATAGGTGCATCATGAACTTAATATACATAAACATAGACATTTTATATATATATATATTTTAAAAGTAATAACAATCCTAGGATGTTACGTGTAAATGATGTCGAAGCTGTGCTAAATAACATATATAAATATTTGTATTGTGCATTGCATATATATGGTGCGAGTTATATTTCTATGATTGTTGTTTTGCTTGTACATTGTACCTTGTTGCCTACGAATACATTATGCGACGTGTATATATGATATGAGTCATCGCTACAATGTTGCGCGAAATTGAACATTATTTGCGAAGTATCGACCGCGCTTGCTAAAATATCAAGCATTGCGTAAAAGCAAGCATGTTTACCTTTTATCGACACAATATTTGATATATTCACGTGTATTCCTTATATTTTAATTTTGGTAGCGATAGCGATAGCCAATCTGATGCAGTAAACATTGTAAAGCCTTGTTGCGATTACTAGATAGAGTTACATTTAACTTCATGTAAATTGCTAAGCGGTAAGGTTAATGAAATAGCGTTGTGTGTTCTTGTGACATCCTAGGATTGTGAGGGACTTGTAGCTTATCACTAACCTAAATATAGAGCTAAGTGAATCATATCACATTTATCTTAATATATATAATTTTTTTTGTATTATCTAATTAATTCCACCTTGATAACTTTACGCGTTCCTTAGAAAAAGGGTATTGACAGGCAGACGGACGAACAACAAAGTGATCCTATAAGGGTTCCGTTTGTTTCCTATGTGGGACGGAACCCTAAAAATGATAGTTATAATAATGTAAAAGCTTACTAAGAGCATTATTAATCTTAATTCGATGAACATAAGTAAGCGTGACGGTTGTAAATATAACTTTTTAGATCTTTGTGCTTTGCTGAAACAAGTTACTTGAAAAGTAAAAATAGTTGACGACTAGACAGGACAAAGCTATCAAGACAATCGTAGCACTTGGAAATAAATATGTAAGACCGCTGTTGGTAACGGAACCGTCGGTCTAGAAAGCTCCTAGTCTCGTCTCTGCAATCGATAAACTGCAGGGCGCATGTACAGGGTGCGCCCTGTAACCGCGCCCTACGACCGCGCCCTTTGACCGCGCCCTGCTATAGGTCTGCGCCGCGCCGCCGCGCCGCCGCGCCGCCGCGCCGCCGCGCCGCCGCGCCGTCGCGCCGCCGCCGCTAATCTCGGGGCGCTCGATCGACCCTTATCGTTTGTTAGCTTCACCCGGGCGAAGTGCAATGCGCATGTGCATTATCTTGCGCGTATCTGCTGCTTTTCTTTCTTTCAGTATTTTTTTTTTGTCTGCGAATATTTTTTTTTAAATTGGCTTTCTTATTTTCTTAAAAATTTTGTTTATTACTCGATTTTTAGTGAATTTGAAGTTTGATAACTAATTTATTTTGTACATGCGACGGAAATCAGAAAAACAAAGCAAAGGACTATCCTATTTACTTAATATGTATATTGTACTTAAATTCAAAAAGTAATATAGAAATGTAGCAGTAATACTCGTAGCAGATAACTTCTTATATGTTCAACAGATCTGTTGTAGAAGTTATTACTGTGAAGATATTACTGAAATAAGAACATAAATAAAAATTAAATAAAATAGATATTACTACGAAACACTAAAATGCATTCCCAAGTTATAAGATTTAGTTCTTCAACAAGTACTTCACTAAACGAGAACATCATGAATGTACGTCCAAATCAATTAAATACTCTTTATATATACTTTGTCAAATTTTCATGGACCTACGTGATAACTTACAAACTACGAAATAATTATCAAAATCGGTAAACTAATTAAAAAGTAAAAAACTAATATATTGTTGCTTACATTTAATTGTGTGCAGGCGAGGCGTGTGAGGTGCCGCGAGCGCATTTTTAAGATGCGCTTAGTTTTTAATCTTTCGATATCTTCTAAACTATTGCTCAAAATTATATAGTTCAAAGAACTAATGCAATCTAAACTTGATGCTCTAGTCGACAAATATATTTCTTTGAATAAGGATTTATACTGAATATAATATAATAGCGCCGTCAGCTTACGACGCTGTTTGTTATTCGTATGCATGTTAATCGATGTTTCTTCAGAATAGCATGGTTATTCTGAGACATCCATGGATGCTACCAAAGATATTTATGTAGCAAATTTAAGAATCCAAAATTCGTTGACACATCATCTTTATGTAGGTCATGTAGTTTGACCTACGTAAGTCAAGAAACCAAAATTGTGCTTTTTTTTTACGAATTGTTGCATTTTTCGGACACGCCTAATTTTATTCTTACGATATCTGCTAAACGATTTTACAGAATGATATAAATTCATAAATTCAAAGGGCAAATATAATCTTATATCTTTAAAACTTATGTCTTTAAATGAGCAATTCTCATTTTCTAAAAATGATATATATATATATATCATTTTATTCGTGTTTTATCGATAATCAACTTAAACATAAACTTAGCTTTTTCTATCGGTAAGATCGAAAAATATTATTCATATTTCATCATTTTATTAGTAATTCGTATATAATTTCCAAAAAACACAATTAATAAAAAATACCGAGCAAAGCTTTCATTTTACAAAAGATGGTTATTGTGAAATAAAATATGTATATATATATAATAGATAGATATAATAAATGCTATCGAGGTATTGATAACCTCCTTCTTATTGAAGTCGGCTAAAAAGTAAAAGCTAAAACAATTTACTCTTCGTGACAGTCTATTTTATTGTTAAATGAAGACATATAGTATTTTATGTCTACTTGACTTTCGCCATTTAGGCGCTGATGGTTGCGGTTGCGGTTGCGGTTGATGGTGAGGATTGGAATCGGAAGAAAGCTGACATTTCTAAGTGATATCCTATCCATACATACCGATGAATACATCCAATGAATTTACTTGACTCTTACGTTATGATGATAATGACGACATCGCTTTGGTTTAATGACACTATATTTAGGTAGTTTTTAGTTTTTCTAGGGAATATACGTTTTTTGCAATTCTTTTAGTAAATCATACTCGTAATTTTTTTAGATATCGGTGTAGGTAGTACTTTAAAAAGTATACATTTCTTTAGTTAAATAATATTTACTTTTTTTTAGGAACTTTCAAAATATTTTTTTAATTTAGATTAATACGAGTTAAGCTAACAAGTGAAGGTAAGCTAAAGATAATGTTACGTAAGGCCAACTATAATGAAAACACAATTGTAGTTAATTATTTTATTGGATGAATGATTTCATGGAAAAACTATGTTGCTAAACATGAGCTGGCAACATTATTTTTACAAGGAAAAACTGAAACCAAGTAATGAATGACTCAATATATCTCTGTCCCTCATGGCCCCCTGGGTCCTGGGTCCTGGGTCCTGGGTCCTGGGTCCTGGGTACACGAGAACAGCTAATTATTCATAAATCTTAAATACAAACACTATGCTACCTAACTACGACTTTTCAACTGTCAAGAACACTTAAGGATCGAATATTTGTTTATCAATTTTTGATGTTGCAATTTTTACGACGATCCTAGTAGTTGGAACCCACCTCACTTTAATGGCCAAGCAAACTATACTTTAGTATTGACTAGCGAGGTAAGAACACAAAACATTAAGGACTACATTTATCTCTTGTACTCTTTGTGTGTCTTAGGCGGAGGCAATGGCCGAACCGGGGGAGGGGGTCGAGACAGTAGTGAATCGCCGCCGCCGCCGCCGCCGCCGCCGCCTCCGCCGCCGCCGACGTCGCAGGAGGTAGGGCGCGGCGCCATTAGGAAACGACCGCCCCCAGCACCCAAGAGCCGAGAGCCCCAGAGGTTCGTGAGCCCTCAGAGGTCGCATAGCTCCCGGAGGTCGCAGAAATCATATTGGCCGGAGTCTTCGCCTGACCTCGAGAGATCGTATAGCCCCTTGACGTCGGATAGATCACCTTGGTCGCAAAAGCTGCCTGGTCCCCAGAGCGCGCATGGCCTCCAGGGATCGCATATATCACCTTGGTCGCAAAAGCTGCCTGGCTCTCAGAGATGGCAGGGCCCCCAGGGATCGAAGATATCGCATTCTTCGCAAAAGCTGTCTGGGCCTCAGAGCTGGCAGGGCCCCCAGGGATCGCAGACATCACGTTGGCCGGAGACGGTGACTGGCCCTCGGAGCTCGCAGACATCACGTTGGCCGGAGACGGTGACTGGCCCTCGGAGCTCGCAGACATCACGTTGGCCGGAGACGGTGACTGGCCCTCGGAGCTCGCAGGGTCCCCGCGGGTCGCAGACATCACTTTGGCCGGAGACGGCGCCTGGCCCTCGGAGCTCGCAGGGACCCCGCGGGTCGCAGACATCACTTTGGTCGGAGACGGTGCCTGGCCCTCGGAGCTCGCAGGGCCCCCGCGGGTCGCAGACATCACATTGGCCGGAGACGGTGCCTGGCCCTCGGAGCTCGCAGGGCCCCTACGGGTCGCAGATACCACGTTGGCCGGAGACGCTGCCTAGCCCTTGGAGCTCGCAAGGCCCCCACAGGTCGCAGATATCACATTGTCCGGAGACGCTGCCTGGTCCTCGTAGCTCGCAGGGTCCGCAGGGGTCGCATATATCACATCGGCCGGAGACGGTGCCTGGCCCTCGGAGCTCGCAGGACCCCCACGGGTCGCAGATACCACATTGGCCGGAGACGCTGCCTGGCCCTTGGAGCTCGCTAGGCCCCCACGGGTCGCAGATATCACAGTGGCCTGAGACGCTGCCTGGCCCTCATAGCTCGCAGGACCCGCAGGAGTCAGAGATTAATTGGCCGGAGACGCTGCCTGGCCCTCAGAGCTCACAGATGATAGATTGGCCAGAGACGCTGCCTGGCCCTCAGAGCTCGCAGGGCCCATATGGGTCGCAGATATCACATTTGCTGCAGACGCTGTCTGGCCATCAGAACTCGCAGGGCCAACATGGTTCTCATATAATCAATTGGCTTCAGACGCTGCCTGGCCCTCAGAACTCGCAAGGCCCACATGGGTCACAGACATCACATTGGCTGCAGACGCTGCCTGCTTTTCAGAGCTCGCAGAATCCCCTGGGATCGCTGAGCCCACAGGCGTCGCAGAGCCTGCCGAGTAGGCTTCCAGGCGCAATAGACAGGAGGCAAGTCGATTTTTACTTTTAGTACTTTCTAGGTATGAGTATGAGCTATGAGTTAACTCGAAGGTTAACAAATTAGTGTAAGCAGCTGAGGCGCACCGAGGAAATTGTCTCCATGAATCCTGCATCTGCACCACTTCCACCTAGTGTCAGACAACTGGCAGGCACATTCAAGTGCACATGATGCATGTTATAGTGACACCTACTGGGTAGTTACGTAATTAATAAAACCATACATATATATTTGATGACGAGGATATATATGCATTTAATGGATACCTCTACTCGTAGAAGGTCCCACAACAAAAATATCGTGTTTATATAGTTAGCATAAACATTATGTAGTATTCGCTTTCGTGTTCACTGAGTTATGTATTTCAGAGACATGCTGTACAGCTTTGAGCTGGAGTGTGCGTTGGAGGAGCTGGCGGCCTTCTTCAGCCATGATGTTAAAAATATCTACATGATACTTAACGCTTTGTAAGTTCTTTTCATTGTACATTTATAACAGTACTCGTAAGTGTGGTCGGTCAACTTACTGTTGCTGTACACATCATTATTATATATTAATATTTAGGTAAATTTGTAGTCAGTATTTTTTACTAAATGATCATTAAGTTAATAACAAATTAAAAATAAATAAAGAAATGGATAAGAACATGTCCGTAGCCGTAGCGGGATAAGTGAGCGGAAACCTGAGCCTGATGACAAGTTGTTTGTAACATTATTACTCCAGGAGGCAAAGCCTGCATGGCCACGCGGATGGCCTGCAGGTCAACAACGGGCCCTCGGTAGTCCCTGTTGTCAACACGGACTTGATGAACTTGCTGCCGCTCTTCATGGAGCTGGTTGCTACTTTCAAGGAGCAACTCCATAGGTCCCGCGAGCAAGTTGAAGCCCTCGTAAGTTTATAATACATGTAGTTTTTTATTTTAATTTCTCCATATAATGTGATAAGTCGTTTAAAAATGTTGTTTGTTTGTTTGGTAAGCGCGCCTCATCCCAGCGGCTCGAGTGCAACTCCGACGAGGAGGCGCAACTCGAGCTTAACATCCTCTAGGTAACACTTGAGCATGCAGCCGAGCTCCTCCAACATGTCTACAACGAGGAGGGCTTGCTGTATGCTATTAAATTATTTTGCGATGATGCATTGGGTTTTATGTAAGTTCCTTCACTTTCTAACAATTAATAAGTAAAACTAGTAGTAATGTTACCGGTGTCCGTAAAATTGCGTCAAGTTAAAATATTTTAGTTGCTTTGCCTTCCTTTATTAGACGGACGAATAGGACGCATAAAAAGAGAATAAGCCCATCCTTTGATTATGAGAAAAGGGTGTAATGGGGAAGAGGAAGTAACATTTGACCTCCGACACATACATTCATGAGACAATGTGCGATGTATTGGTGGTATCAGATAAGTGCGTCCAGCTGGTTGGTAGTTAGTGCGGCAGCGACAGCGACAGCGACAGCGATATGCTGCTGCTGTTATGAATGTAAACAAACATGTACGCCATTTGAAAATGACTCTATAAAATAGCACTGAGTGAACACGGAGAGTTAGAATTCTTATTTTTAAATAAAAATTGAAATCCAAATCTAATTACTTTTTAAATATATTTTTCTTTTTTGGTAGGTATTCTGTTCGCAAATATCAGAAAAAAGTATGGAGAACTTACGAGAATCATCAAACATTTAGCAGAATCGCCGGTGAGGGTCTAAGGACCATTGGCAGCACGCCGAAACGCTTGTTGCCTAAACTCATGAAAGTCTTGCAGCCGTGCATATTCTTGCCGGATGCATCGAGCTGCACAGAGGTCGGTGGCGAGGCAATGGGCCCGTTGGCTCGCGCACCGGCCTTGGAAGACGCACGCGGGCCGTGGAGTGCCACAAGCCGCACAAATACTCCGCAATGTACCGAGAGCCATTCTCGACCGAACAATGACCATGACAAATCAGAGGAGGAAGTGGGGGCTACGTGTTTAAATTACTATAATACCGATGATGACAAAGGTGAACATAAAGTAAGTACATTCCATCCTATACATACGTTCCCGGACACATAGTGTTTTAAGTTTTGACGGTTCCTACCTTAAAATAAATGTTAGGTGAAGCTGTATGTTTTATATTTATGCAGTTTTGAAGCTGTTTCATTGGTCAACCCTTTGGTATATTTGTACACACATAGGGGGACTACAATTTAACTTTATTTTTTCAGTTTTCGCGCAGTGAAACAGACGATCCGGCTGTTCCTGACGTTCCGGACGTTCCGGTCGTTCCGGACGTTCCGGTCGTTCCGGACGTTCCGGAAGCTATGGACATTCCGGATGTTCCGGACAATCAGGAGCAGCCGCAAGGTGTTGACGACTCCGTCGAACAGGTACTTATAACAAACAAGTATAATAAATTGTAGGTGTTACACATTAGTCAATACATCGATCCTTTGGTGTTGCATGTGGAAGGATACCTCAAAGGTGGTAATACTTTGGTAAGACAGGATAGATTGCGTGTAAAATGAGACGAATTAGAAGTAGATTGACAAATGTGTTTCTTCATCAGCAACAGCCGGCTGGGCCAGATCGTGTGCTGCTGAATGCAGACCGGCTGCGCGAGGTGCGGGAGCACAGTGCAATCCTCGCCATCTGCTACCGCATTCGCCGACGACTGAAAGCAGAGGCCTTGCAGAAGCTGGCCCGCATGTTTCACACTGAAATTATGTACTCCAATGCGTAAGTCACCACTTTTTAACTTTAATTTCTTAACAAAAAAATGGCAGTCGTCCGAACCGGAAACACTACGAATGTCAGTATAAAATTATATTTATAAAAACGAATAACAAAACAAACGTTTGCAGATGTTGCCTTGAGTTATTGAAGAGAGTAATGGGGGGTACACTATATGATGGAATGCAACTTATCTCCGGTGTCCAATATTTTCGAATACCAGGAAGCAGCACGATGATCCCTTGTATTGAAACTCTATATCTATGGAACACATTGGCCGCTCAGGCTGACGACGCTGTGCCAGCAACAAGAATGCTTCGGGTAAATTTATTTTATATAACTTAAATTAATACAATCATTAACTTATTTTAAACTAACTTTAATAAGTTTTATTACAGCTAATAGAAGAGGCGAGAGACAGCTTTCGGTTCAATGGCTCTTCGAGCGGTATGTCGCGAAATACCAGAGACGCTACCTTGGATTTCATTAGAGGATGCTGTTTGCAACGTATAGGTCAAACCGATGCGGCCATAAATTGTTTCCGCAACATATCCAGGTATAGCTAACAGCTACAGTCGTCAAACATTTATTGTATGTTAAAATATCTATATACTCGGTAAGAGGCGAGGATCTCCGCTTCCTCTTTCACTCGGTACATTTCCAACTTAAACTCTATCAATGGTATCAATGTTGTGTGTTTCCTAAAATATCGTTTTTGTGAAATGTTCAACAATCATTTTAATGAATGAACATTATGTTTTAGCTTGGAGAATGTGCCCTGCAACAGGCCAGAGGACCAGTTCCTGATACCGTTCGCCTTGCTGCAAGAGGCGCTCTACTATTATGATACGGGCGTCATAAACACCGCTCACATGATTGTTTCATACGTGTGGTGAGTAATCAGCCCCATCTAACCTAACTTAACCTAAAGCGTAGTATTTACCTCACTGTGAGTACAGATAGAATGAGCGGTGGGTACAAGCAGCGAGCTGAGCTAAGCTCCGTATGTTATGTACCTACCTACCTACCTATACATATACCTAGCTACTCAACTCAACTCTCACAAACTATTTTATGTACTTAAGTAAACTAATATTTTCAGGGATGAATACGACAACATGTCGCCTGCCGCGCGCACCTTCTGCGTTGCTTTCGCCAACATAATGAACGTGATTCTCAGGTTCCCACAATAAATGCTAATTTACCAAATGCGCTACAGAATAACATAAAATATGTATTCATTATAAGTTAAGTTCCTTTTGAGCAAAGTATTTCACAATGAATGTGTATTGCTCTTCTTAATTATTATTAATAGTATTAGTAAGTAAATATTATACAATTTGATGTTAGTAAGTAAGTATATGAAGATTTTCACTATCAGCTCTCGTACCGGAGCTCGACGCATTGTTTTCTAATCAAGTTTAACTTTCAACTTCACCTCGGATGGATACAATTACTTATGTCAAATTGTTTGTTGCGCTTTAGAGAAGCTACTAAACGAGTTTAAACTACATGGTACATTTTTAATGTTAATGATAATTGCGTCAAACTGTACGCAATGTCAAGATGATAAATGAAATTATTTATATCTACTATGAATATATTATTTGTACGGGCTGAACATTCGTACAATATTATTTGTAGAAATATCTATGTATGTATGTATGTTTGGATGAACACGTTATTTTATTATTTACAAAAAAAAATGTAAACAAAAGGAACCAACAAGGGATATCATAGTGAGTAAGCTTTAACTTACCACTCTGATGACTGAATCGTAATCCTACAAGGATGTTAACGTATAGAAAACGGTTGTTTTGTAGTGGAGAGCGCTGCGCCAGCGCACAGCCGCTCACTGGAACCTAGCTTGGATTTTGTGCTACAATACAATTGATTACTGAACTAAATATTTCGCTCCTTAATATGAAACCCAGAGTTTCGCGTTTCGCTCCGCTTTCGTTGCCGTGTGCAGCTGTGTGTGAGGTTCACGCTGAGAGCAATCTTTAGCCGGCAAACATGTTGCCAAATATCTCTTATAAAATAATATAAATTTTTGATGTTTATACGACGTGTAGATGTAGATAAGTAGATGTGTAGATAAGATGACAGATTTGTTATCAAGTGCGTAAACGCACACAGTGACTACTGTACTACTGTACTACTGTAGTAGGTCACCTCCTCTGTATCCAGCCTAAAGTTAGTTGAGTGACATGGAGCGAGTCTTTCTTACGCTTACTTGAGTTCTCGTATCTGTGAGGCTTTAAGCTATTATTATACAACATTTTTCTAACAATTTATATACTTCAATTACAAATTATTTTTATTTCTCATATAAATGTTTATTTTTCTATACAACATAGTTGTTTAAGCTTTTATTAAATTAATGTACAGATTTGTAACTATTACGTAAGCAGTCTGCTCAATTTTAGTTATCAGAAGTTTTCAGGAAGTGTAACTTTGGGAATAATAATAATGTAATAACTACTTCGTAATCGTAAGTTATTGTTTAGAGGGACTTGTATCTTATATCCCGCATAATATTGTAATATAATTAATAAGTTACTGCAAAAGCCCGAACTCCGGTCAATGCTGACATTGGCACTAACTACTTATGTATGTTTTGAGCACGTACACGTGCTCGGAAAATGTGCGCAGACCATTTGTTACCTTACCTATTTAAAACATTTTAATTTGTTTTTATTTATATAGATCGTTACTGTGTTTGGCGCAAATTTTAACATATACCTATATACCAAGTTAATCATGGTAAACGCTTGAAATCAACAAAACATCTCAAAACATTCCGATCTTTTGCTATGTAGCAAATAGGTAAAAAGGTGTTAGAATTTAAAGAAGTTTGGGCTGCAGTAACACATTCATGTCATAATTATATTAGTCAAGTTTAATAAACGTTTATAAATGTGTAGTTTGTAATAATGTGCGCAAGTATCAGTGAGTCGCGCACGCGCACGCGCACGCGCACTGTAAGTCCCGCCGCACTGCGTGACATAACTAGTGTCGCTAAGTCTACACCGCAACAACTCTGAGTGCGGCAGTACGTAAGGCACAATATGTTATTCTTAGCATTAAGTATATGTCATAATAAATATCGTACTCGTATTGTGTATCTCAATGTTTGTAAGGGCAATCCGGTATTGTAACTCCGCGGCCCCTATACTTTCATTATTTTATGTTAATTGCTTGATGAAGATGTGTGCAGGAAAGGGAAAGAAGTTTACCATTCGAGAGGCACTGATTGTGTAAGTGGACTATTCATATTATGTAGCGGTAGGTTTAGGCAAACATGGTACACCAGAGGATGGAATCTTTTGACTCAAAACTTGGTGCTAAATGTACGTCAATATTTGGAATCTAAAGCATACACGTTTTTTGACATCGTAGCACTAAATTCAGAATTAAGGTTTTGAACTTTAAATATTGAAATTTCGGTCGAGGATTAGTTAGAATGGTAAATTGAAGGGTATTTTGGAATGTGAGGGATGATGGGATGAGGGACAATGTATACATCGGGACTGGGAGTGGCAGCATTTACTTACCGTATATATAATATATAACTTCTTCTTAATTATGTGTCTATGTGTGTATGTGTGTGTACATTCAATGTATTCATCTTACTTCAATAAATAATTGTGAAAAAAACTATATTTTATATTATCAACGAAAGTTCGCTTAAAAGTTAAAACTTTAACCAGCTCTTACCCGCCGCTTCGTCCGCGCAAAGTTTAAAATAAACATGCCTCTTTATGAACCTCTATGACTTTCATAGAGTAAGTTTATATTTACTTATGTATGCTTCAGATGTTCTTGTGGCCTTTATGCAAATATTCAAAGATAAACAACATACTAGAAAGTGTTTACATTGTCCAAACATGAGGTTGATTATGATTCAATTCATTTGTGGAAAGTCGAAAGGAAATGTTACACAACACACAATTTATTATATATATTTATAATGGGTATTAGTGAATAAATAATGTTACGCTCGCCACACTGCAACATAAGTCTGCTGCTGTGCTGTCTTTGTAACTGTTCATGTCTAATAAAATGCTTGATATTTATGTTCATTTACTTATTTGTTTTGGATAACAAAAATACTTTGTCTTATTTAGCCTCGCGATTTCATGTTATTTTTATGCAAATAGCAATTATGTTAATGGAAAATGTTCACATTCGCCGCAGCTTCATAATTTTCCACTTACATATAACATAAATTACATGTTTATTTGTAAAATCTTCAGCTGGCGTTCAAGTGGCGGTCACAAGCAAGGGCGGAAAATGTTATTGCTATATATAAAATTATCTCGTGTCACAATGTTAGTATCATACTCACTCCTTGAACCTGAAACAGCTTCACAGATTTTATATGTATTTTCAGTAGCTCTGAGAATCGGCTACTATCTATTTTTCATAGCTCTAAGTGATAAGGGTTGTCACCCCTAACACATTATCTTTTGATCATTGTCATATATATATATATATATATATATATATATATATGACAAAAGTACAGATGCCGGCTCAGCCAGTAGTTTTCTTAAAATAATTAACACTGCGATTGTAGGTGTTGAAGTGCGAGTGCCGGATACAAATCATTTGGCAACACAAAAGCATGTGATAACACTGTCAAAGGAACTTGTTGTTATCAATACCCTAGGTAACTCGCTTACACTTACACACGTTGAACCGCTCTCTCTGCTCATCTTCTCTTCGATATACCCTATTCTATGTCTATCTGCTCTTCCAGCTAGTCTAGATTCACCTTCTCTCCTTCCCAAACTTTAAATTCCCTCAAAAAACGCCTAAATCTCACTTTCGGGGCCTTTGAAAAAAATATTCAAGGTGAGGCAAATATGTGTAAAGGAATCGCTAGGCGTTTCGCATGGTTCACATGTATATTCCATGGTTATATTCCAGTCATTCCTATCACCAACCAACTTTCGGCTCTGTGCGAATTATTCTAGCTTTAATATTTAATTTGACCAGGTTACAAATACAGCGGAATAACTCACGAGACACAAAATGATTGTAACTTTAAGTTAGTCACTTTCTCTTCTATGCTTCGACTACAATAAACTTGTTGTTATGCTATATATTGGATCATTTAGCACCAACTAATGCCACTGCTTTATATTATACCTAAGATGGTCTTTTGAATTTATCTAGTCTACGGTACGGTACAACGGTCTAAGGGTAAAGAATGGCCACAGGCTAGTTATAAACGTATGACTAGATTTAAACTACATGAAAGTGTGAAAGACATTCTCCTTTGGCACGGCATAGTCGAAGAGGACGAACACAAAAGAATCCATCTTGGAAGTCTCAGCAATTTACTCACGACCATGTTGATAAACAGATAGCAAGCGACTGGGGACGAAATAACAAAATATCTGAAAAGCGTGTTTGTGTACGAACCTCAATGACATTGCTTAGCGAATAAATTTGCTGGGTTTCAAAAATTAGGGGCGTACAGAAAAGAAGATACGAACCACTTATCTCTTCTCTGTGAAATCAGTGCATTCACAGCAATCGGACAGACATTCATACATACAGCATGCATATTTTACAATAATACCTAGCTAATTACGCTTACCAGGAAACATTTGCACTGCACTGAAGGTTTCATTCCTTAAACCCCTAAAAAATATTAAGTACAAAATGAACAACATCTTTGGTCGACTCGATCGATAAGTAAGATTTTAACTCAAGATAGGTTAGATATCATCATCAGGTCATTACGTTACGTCCCCACTGAGGGCGTCGGAGTCTACCATAAGCTAGAAGTGACTAGACCACACTCAACCACGCTCTTCCAGTACCAGTTGGTTGATTTCACACCCGTCTTTGAATTTCTTCTCAGGTATGTGCAGGTTATATTACGATGTTTTCCTTTACGTACATACGTACGTACGTTTGTTAATTAAAAATCGAAAAACGCATAGGTACGTGGATGGATGCGAATCTATAACCTGCAGATTACAAGGCAAGTGCTTAATCTTTGTGCCACCGACGATTACCTCTCTCTCTAGAGGATCGTAGTCAGCGTCAGGGTTAGTTCTAGTGTAAATGATTAGCTGCCACCGACTTCGGTCCAGCGCATCGCTCATGACTGCGTTGAAATCGGATGGTCATCCGATTAACGCTCATATATGTTTCAAATATGTATATTATAACTAAATGCTGTCTACATATAATACATATGGCAACAAGCAACAACGCAAAGCATGACGCCAGCTTAGGAATATATCATGCAAATTGAGGTGCGCGGCGCCGGTGGCCGCGTCGGCGCCGTGCAGCTAGACACGGAGCGTTATTGATTCCAATTGTTGGAAATTTTCCGCTCGCCAAATTTTACCGTCTCTACGCGCAGTCGCACATCGAAGTAGGACAGTGGAATGGGGTGATTCAGAGGCGGAGGCTGCGCAGAAGAGATGAAATGATGCGAAAGTCCGCTGGCAATGTCCGCCACTTGTCGTCCGGACCCTCGCCCGTGAATACGTATTCATTTATTTCTCTCTTAATAGTGAAGTATACATTGTTGTACTGAGTGCTGTGCATAGCTGGTGTTCGAGCCTGGACGTTGGCAGAACTTTTGCGGCCATCGAAACCAACAGGTATGTTAAGGTTTTATTTTATTTTATTTTATTGATTGTTTCTTACCTTTTTCATACCTTTGTTTCATAAATGTTTTATCAATAACGTATAATAAAGTTATTTTATGTTTCATTATTCTCTTTCTTCTTGTGCTCTTTTTAAAAAGTTCTCGTTTCATTTGCCCCACACCAATTTCATTTCGTAAAGTGTTAAGTTAATTATATTATTAGGGGACGCGAGCCGCCAGCATTTGGTTCAGCAGCAGGTTCGTTTGCATTTTTATCTTAATTATAAAAAAAAACCAGCTTTTGTTAAATATAGAAAAGCCCCGCCCTGTTAGTACATATTGGGCAACGGAGAGACTGAAAGGGCGCGGGGGTGAGAATATCGATTGTCTATGCACGCGGGGTGACATAGGGGTTGCGCGGGGGTGTCGCAGGGGTGGCGTTAGGATGGCTAGGGCGTGGTGGCGGCGGCGACACTCGCCCGGGCACAGCTAGAGAAGGTAAATCAGGCCTGCGGGGAGTGCGGCACAGCCTCCGGGACAGCAACGGAGTGAACACGTCATTTGTATAATTATTATAATTTAAGTTTAAAGAAAGTATACTGGTGACAAAGTAGTGATCGTTTGAAAGAGACCCGCACCCGCATTATTCGGTATGATTTATTGAATAACTTGTGTTTAGTATTAGAAGATTCTTGTCATAGGGTAATATGTTCTTACTTACAAGCTTCATTCTTATGACGGATCGGATAAAATATTTAACTCTCGGGATGTTCAGCCATCTTAGTCAGTCCGGTGGGGGAGGGAAGGGAGTGGCGCGGGGTGTATGATTAGATCAATATCGGTAGCGGCCGGCCGGGGCTCGAGGACCGGCGCGCCTGCGCACATCGGGCTCCTGTATCTTCAACTTCAAGAAATTACTAATTAAGTTGAACTCTCTAAAACAATGGTGTTAATGAACAAACTGAAGCGACACAACAAATGCTTAAAATTTGTATCTCAAAATCTGTTTTTAATTTTTCTCCAGCTTCATATATAAATATACATTCTGTATAGTACGCCGACTGCTAAAGGTAAAACGCTCGACTACACAATTGTTGGAAGTAATGGAAGTAATGGAAGCAATAAAGTTAACTTAACCTATCCATCTGGATGTAACCTTGCATTGCCGCTCCAGCTATGAAGAATTGAATTATTTTTCGTCTGTCCTGTATGTTACATGATGGGATCCAAAGGTTCTGATTACATTTTAGGTCGAGACGGTTTTCATTATGGAAAGACATATTGTCCTGAACTCAAATGTAATCAGAAGCCGAAGATCCAGATGCGTCTGGAACCCGGACCTGCCTGAAAGAGATGTCCTTCACGTTAGAATCTTCTTAGGATCCAGCTGAACCACTTACGCTGATATACACTGAACCCAGATCTGGCTACGCCAGCTTTAGCTAACTTCCGAACATTCTATGCTCGAGTTAGACATCTGCAAAAAATGGGAATACGTAACGTAATAAACAGAAGTTGTATCGGAAAAATAGATTGCACCAGAAGTGAGATGCGCTCAAAATCCAGATGGAACGGGAACGCAGGATGCGAGTGGCCGAACCTACGTTTGTCAACAACTTAAATTTAAATATTATTACTTTAAAGTACCCAATTACTAATTAAGTGAAAACTTTTACTTTGATTTTAGTTACCATACTAACCTCGACGTTATTAAAAGGCATTAAAAGTTAATTAATTCACTTTTAACTTTGATTAACTGTCACACATA